ATTTTTTGGTAGTAAGTCAAAATTGAAAACCAGACTCATGATCTATACGATTCGAAATAGGTGTGAAAACCAAAAAATAATAATTATAACGGTAAAAAAACTGAAATTTTAGCGATCATCTGTTTGTACAATAGAGTTGCTTTAGTTTTGTCTAAGCAAAAATTGAGACAATTCCCTTATCCATAATTTATTATTCTGTTTTTTAAAAGTGTATAAAGTACCCGTTTTAAACTGTATAAAGTACCATTTTATGTGCAAAATTGCAAGGTTATATCCTAAATTTTGCAATCGGCATTGTGATATACAGCAGACATACGGACCGTTGTTCTTAAATTTTATTAAATTTGATTTTATTCCTTAGCCATGTGACAACGAGTTGTCGTGTATGTTCCAGAATTAAATAATTGAAATAAATTGATACAACGTGATATATCTTAAAATAAACATAGCTAAAATGACAACAACAACAAGAACACTTGTTCAATAAAAACAGAAACAAAAACATTGTCGCCTATCTTTGATTTTGAAATTCTAAAAATACTCGATTTAATTTTAAAACTCAATAGAAATGTTGAAATAATTTATTTAAGTTTTTTTATATCCCTCCCCAATAAAAACAAAAGAAAACATCAATCAGTATCTAAAATAAAATCATACCACTACAACTACACAACAATCAACCTAAATCATTCCCCTGGTGGTGGCGGTGATGATGAACCAATTCCCCCATGACCAGTGCCAATGAATAGTGAAAGTCCATTATTTTACGTTGATTTAAATTAGTCTTTTTGATAGGTGGTTAGTAACTTGGCTTGGTAGCCAACCACCACATAAAAACAACAACAACAACAAGTAGAAAAGAAACCTAACAATTTGTAACACTGCTAACAATTTGCATTACATTTCCTCCCCGTAAGCAAAAAAAAAAAAAAAAAAAAACTCAAAAGGTGTTATTTTTAAAAAAATGCGGAAAGATCTGACACTGAACCAAATATAAATTGACTGTGAACAGACGAGATGATACCTTTCGAAAAATTTCGCATTCTATTTATTTCCCCTCTAGTTCAGGTGTACGATATCTGGGGAGAAGGGGGGCTGCTGGGTTTCAGTGTGTAATGATGTTACTTTGCAAATGTCTAAGATCAGCTGCTTTTTTGCAGATATTTTTGTAATTCGTCACAATATTTTGTTGGTGAAATCGTACGACGGATTGATGGCCACTGAGTGGTGGTGATACATTGTTTGGTTTGTAATGATTTTTGATTTGGTTTTTTTATTGTAATTTCTGGCCAAATGGTTGTTGGTGTGGTTTTTGTTGTAGGGATGTATGACTCGTACTTTTTACTACATCATAGATAGGCATTTTTCGAAAATAAGCAACAGAAGAAATAAGAACATTAGACAGATATTCGAGAATAATGAGCATTAATTTTTTTTTTTAAATAATTACACATTGAAGCAAAGACAATAACAAAAGACGCAAAAACACAGGGGCGTAGTTAAATAATAATGACGAGTAACATTAACTACATTGAGTAACATTAACTACTACTTCTTTAGTATCTTTGATATTTTTTTTGTAAGATAAAGTGCAAGAAATATTTGTTATCCTCGAAAGTCTGTTCCTTGCCTAAAGACAAACATTGATCCGATTGCAGAATATCCTCCTCCACACTTTGTTTCGATGTACGGTGTACATTGCACAGGTCCAGCCTAAAATTGTTGGCATTTTGATTATTTTACGCTTTTTTTCCTATTGCAATAGCATCGATTCCTTACCAAAAGGAATCGATTTTAGTCCAGGATTACATGCATCGCCCACATAACGGTACCATCCCTTTTAATGACAATTTCCATAAAAATGGGGGCCAAAATTTAATATTTCTGGAGTAAAAATGGCATAGGGCTGGTTTTCTTTTTATGGAGTTCGATCTATTTATGAGATTTCTGAAGTTATGGATCGTATTGTTTATACAAATGTGTAAAACGCTATGGTTACCTTGGCTGAGCAATATTCACATTTACTATAACCTCAAACATACACCGAAACGTGCCAAAAATTTGTTTTTCTATCAGACCTATCAAATATAAAAAAATCAAAAACAAATTCAGAAGCAAACAAACATAACCTCTTCACAAAGGTTTAGTTGGATGCGAGGAATAGTCTATCCAAGAATCAAATTGAACATCTTATAAATGTATGTTATACTGTCGATTGCTTTAGTCGCTTTAGTTTTGACCAAGCAAAAATTGGGTCAATTTAATTTCCCGTAGATTATTTTTAATTTCAAAGTAACTTTTGTGTTTATATGTTTTTTAAAGTGAATAAATTACCTTTTTATTTCTGAAAAATGCACTACAACTTTATTTTTAAAACCAGTGAGCGGAACATTAAAGTCGGACGGGGCCGACCATACGATACCCTACAAAATACCACGGAACTTTAACTTTCTGTGGATTTTTATACCCTTCACCACACTGTGGTACAGGGTATTATGTCTTTGTGCATATGTTTGTAACAGGCAAAAGGAAACGAGATAGACACATGGTTCCTTTTGAGAATATGCATAGAATCACTTTCTAAGTCGATTTATGCATGTCCGTCCGTCCGTCCGTCCGTCTGTCTGTCCATGTATTTTTGTGAGCAAAGTACAGGTCGCATTTATGATCCGAATTGGATGAAATTTGGCACAGCTCATTTGTTTGGCCCAAGGACGAACCCTATTGAAATTGGGAAAAATCGGTTCAGATTTAGATATAGCTTATATATATATATATATATATATATATAACCGATTTAATGTAAACGGTCCCTATATATCTTTCGATTTGCACGAAATTTGGTACAGCTTAATCATTTAGGTCTAGAATGACGTCTGCCAAGTTTCGTGAAAATCGGTCAAGATTTAGATATAGCTCCCATATATAGTTTCGTCCGATTTCATGTAAATGGTGCCCCAAAGTCCCTATATATCTTCCGATTTGCACGAAATTTGGCATAACGTATTGAATTAAGCCTAGAGTGATGTCTGCCAAGTTTCGAGAAAATCGGTCCAGATTTAGATATAGCTCCCATATATAGTTTCGTCCGATTTTATGTAAATGGTGCACCAAAGTCCCTATATATCCTTCGATTTGCACTAAATTTGGCACAACGTACTGAATTGAGCCTAGAGTGATGTCTGCCTTGTTTCGTGAAAATCGGCCTAGATTTAGATATAGCTCCCTTTTATTATAGATTGATTTTAAGTAATTGACGCACCAAGGAATTTTGTGATGCGGCCTCTGGAGCTACCAGAAAATCAGACAAAAATATTTTTTTTTTTGGCCCATTTCATCTTCTAAATATTAACCGACCTTTAAAAAAAAACAAATGCGGCCTGTATCGTGTTTACAAATTATAATGGACAGACGGACGGACACACATGTCTAGATTAACTCAGCTAGTCGAGATATGACAACCGGTATACTTAATGGTGGATCTGGGACCAATATTTCGCGGCGTTACAAACTCTTGGGGCTACACAAAGATATAATACCATGACAACATAGTTGTGTAGGGCACATGAAGGTACAGTACATCTATTAAGTTTGTAATTTAGTTGCTTCACTTTTGGCCATCAATGTATGTATATTCTTGATTAAAATAAAAATGTATGTCGATTTACGCATGTACGGATTTTGGGCACCGGTTTTAACTGAATTGACTGTAATTTGGTATTCAAATCTGATTACCAAAAACTATCGGTATTTTGAGAATTAAAAACATATTTTTCTCGCTTCTTTTTGGTATGTTCATGGTGCTCCTAGGAGAGGGAGCACCTCATTCTTTTTTTGCACTGGTACTTTGAAAAGCCTAGAATTTAAAGGAATGTCTGGAAGACTGTACAGAAGTCGTCCCACTATCACCAGAAGTTCTATGAAGTCCTTAAGTAATTTAGCCAATATGACATTTAACCAAATGTCTTCTTTGTATATATGTTGTCTTGTAAATATACCTCCTATTCCAAGAATTAAAATATTTGCATTTTGAGAAAACCAACAGACAATCTGTAGACCAGCAAAAGGTTACTGTCAATGGAAAATCTTATATCTGCAGAAGTCGGAAGTCTGTGAAGTGTTCTGTCTGTCGCATAAGAAAACACAGATCATAATCTAAAGATAGAATTCCTTCCCCTCATAACTCTGTGGAAATTCTTCTCGTATAGGCCTAAACTTAAATGAAAATTATGACAACATTTGACATTCGCATAAATTAATTTTTGCAAAAACAATTGGACATTCAAAAATATACCAACCCCGACGAAACGCCACTGAACCACAACAGCAGATTGCTAGTTAGCATTAGTTTTGGCATGATCCGTACAATAACAATGCGCTAGGAGCTGTCCGCTCAGCATAGCCATCGGCCGCAACAACAATACTACGGCAATACAGCAAATAAAAAGGAACAAATAAAAATTGATACATCTGTATGTAAAATAATAATAAGAACAACAACAGCAGCAATCAGATCATTAAAAACGATGCCGCAAATTCGGCATCTGCCGCAACCGCAGCAACAGCGGCAGCTGATGTTGAATGAAGAAAGAAAATGAGACACAATTGCAAAAAATAATGAAAAAATAGCGAAACGAAGTAAAAAACGAAAAAAATGCTTGTTTATTCGGATTTGTGTTTTTAAAATTAGTACTTGGGCAGCTTTCAATACGATCAAGACGTTTTTCTCTCTTCAACAATCAAAAATCAAAGAACTGAACGTTTCAATTACAACAACCATATTTTTTGCAACAACTAGTTAATAGTACTAGAGAAAAGTTATAATAACAAGAACAAACTTGAAACTATCAAAAAAAGAAAAACCCGAAGAACAGGAGTGCGAAGTTTTTGTAACGGAAAATTCGAAATATATTTAAATTTGTTTCCAATTTTCGAAGTCACAACAAACTTTCGTTTTGGTGAAGTGTCGAGTGCGCGAGTAACGAGGAAGTCAGGAGAAGACTAAGAAGCAGAATAATGAGCCCTAAGCTACATGAATTTGCAGTAGTACTCAAACGTGATGGTCAAAATACACCCTGGGGTATACGTCTAGTCGGTGGCAATGATCTGGATACACCATTGATAATAACACGGGTAATACAACAAAAGCAATACTAATTGGAAACAAAAAATTAAAGTGACATTGTGACCATGACATTTGTGTAGTTAAAAAAATATTTATTGTGAATTGCAAATTAACAAGTGACATTTATATGAATTCAAAACATATTGAAATTATTACAATGAACGTAAATTTTAAAAATATTAAATTTTATAAATTTAATACCAGCCAGTAATAATGATTTTTATAAGTTTTAAAGTAAAACACATATCTTTTAAATATAAAAAATTTTAAAAATATAAAAATTTTGTGAATTCGAAACTTTTATTATGCAATGTGATATATCGTTCATACGCCTAGTGGTACCCATCTGTAAAAATCAAAGTCATACCAACAACAACAAAATTGAAAACCCCAAAATCTAAATGAAAAATATCTAATTTATCGATTGTCATCGTTATCGTGTATTCGTCACTTTTCTTTTAAGGACATTTATTGCATTGTGTTTTGTGAGTGTATCGTCCACCAACGCCAAGCCATGCCACACTTCTTGCTGGGCACCAATTTATCAAAAATTTGTTTTAGTTCTTTTTTTGGGTTTTCAAAAAACTACAGATCATTTATTTGCCAAGTTTATTTACCACAATAAAAATAAGAAAAAAATTTAAAACAAAACAAAAAATAATAAAAAAGAAATTTCGAAAAAAACTGACGCTATTACAATACACAGATGATGAAGAAACAAAAAAAAAAGAGACGTTAATCGCCTAAACGATGCCAATTTGTGAATGAAAACAAACACCAAGTAGCCGTTCAAGAAACAAAAAAATGTGCCTCAATTTTGCCAAAAGCTGGCCGCCAAAAACTACGTTGCACAGCCAAATACTTTGTGATATTTGACTTGTTAGGATATATTAGTCGATATTTCCGATGGATGGACCTACACTCGTGGACAAAACTAAAGCAATTACAATTGCAAGGATAATAAATGCCGCATAACTTTTTCAAAAATAAAGATATCGTGTTGGCTTTTTTCAGTTTTGAATCGGGTACTTTATTCACTAAAACAAAAACAGAGCAGAGCCTGGACAAGATATAGAAACAAGTCTACATGCCCGAATACTATCGGAAACGCCTTTTATTTCTGAAAAATAGGAAAGCCGAGTGTCTTTCGCAAAAGCTCATACTCATTGGAAACCAACTTAATGGATAAATATTATGTTCTCGGATGACTTTAAGTTTAATATTAAAGGCACAGACATACAAAAAAATAATCTGAGAAGGTAAAAAATAAAAGAAACTCCCTTCAGCTTGACCATTGGAAATCTCTCGAAATCGCCTAATAAGACTACCTCAATTTCTATATTCAGCTTATTTTATTCACCAGGAATATATAATACCAATATTTCAGTCACTTCGGTTGGAAAATGCGGATACAATCTGCAAAATACCGAAAATCGGAAGGAACCTTTATAAAGGTGATATGTCAAAACATAGATCAGTAAAAGATGCATCCGATAAAGATATTTTTCAACCTACAAAAACTCAACATGTCAAATTGCAGACACTTCGGTGCAAAATTGTGGCAAAGACATTAAAAATAACGAAAATAGGGTAGGACCTTAATATAGAAGCTGTGTCAAAACATGGTCCTATATCGAAAAATTTCTGCCTAGATTTTAGTCAACCTCCAAAAACCCGTAATATTAAATTATATATTAAATTCATGGGTCTTTTTTCGAAGGCCTCAGTCATCTTTTCGTACAGTTCATAAGAGATTTGTTTGTATTAAAAAAACGGAGGCCTCAGCTCATGACTCATTTCTATTCGTATAGAAACAATCTGAGGCCTCGGTTTATGAGGCATTTTTTCGAATAGAAAAAAATCGGAGGCATCAGTTCATGTTCATGTTCCTGAGGCACTTTTTTCGTACAGAAAAAAATCGGAGGCCTCAGTTCCTGAGGCATTTTTTCGTACTAAAAAACACTACAGATGTAAAATGAAAGGGGTATAAGAATACATAAAAATGGGATAAATAAAAATTGGACATATTTAGAAACATTTTCCAGGATCTCAGTTGCGGTAGTCAAAATAAATCAACAAACTTTTTTTTCCAGTCGTTTGACATGAGTAGCTCTTAGAGGCCTACCAAAGATCCTTCGTTGACACGAACTTTTGTATAGCGTAGCGAATTGAGTAATGATCAAATGAAACGATTTTAATTTCGGCAGGGTCGAACCCTGTAAATTAACCTTTGACTGACAATTGTAGTTTCCAACCCCAAATGATTTGGGGAAGTACCTAAGGAAAAATTACGTGATTTTTGTATAGGGTATAAAACATAAATATGCCTATGTCAACAATATATTCCTAAGATATATTGTAACCGAATAAACATCAGAAATAGTAAATTGCACCCACTTTTAAGGGCAAATTTTCCTAAACTGAGGCTTTCAGAACAATGGACCGGATTGTCACGCAGGACGACTTCGACCAGAGGCTGCCTCATCAACTACAAATGCATGTGCGTGAAGTTTATGTTCATAATGGGAGCGGCATTATATTCCGGAATGTCCCCGCAGTCTCCCAAACCACAGTATACACGACATTTCAAAATACAAAATGCTGTTCAACGCCTCGCTAATGTATCGTTCCTGTAGGTTAACTGCGATGAATCCCGCAACAAAATCAGCGACATTTTTGAGCTTATAAGTCGAAGATGTAACATGGTCTCTGCGATCCATGTAACCAAGCTAACGGAGAACTGTAACTTGCATTCATTAATAGAGTACCTGACTTCATAACACCATACTTTTCTGAACCATGGGAAAGCTGATTGACAAGGGTGTAGCTAAAGCGGTGTAGCAGAGGGAATAAATACGAGTACAAATTTTGTACAGCGTATTAAATAGTCAAACAAGTCGTCCATTGATATTTCTTTTTTCAAACTTGTTGAATTTATTATTTGTTTGGCACAAATTCGGCTAATTTTTCTTTTTTTTTTTTTTTGTTTTTTAAGATTTTTGTTTGCTTATTCTTCTTTTGTAAATTGTTGCGATTTTCACAATGCAGACGTAGTAAGAAAATAACAACAAACCAAAAATGAAGAAGAAAAAGAAAACAAAAATGAAAAATATTCAAACAAATGGTGATGTATTGTTTTATGTGCTGTTTTCTTTTTACATTTTTATTTTATTTCTGTGTTATAAGTTGCCTGTTCGGCTGCCAGCCAATCGTCATGTAAACAACTTAAGAGAAGAAATCAAAACATTATTTTTTACAGGTATTTTTGGGGCTACACACACACACACCTATCTAGTAAAAATAAATACTTTTATATTGTGGCCATTGTTGTTTTTAAGTGCAACAATATTTTTTTGATGTTGTTCTTTTTTTCTCATTTCATCTTCCTAGTATAGATTTACAATCACAGGTCCAAGGTTTCGAAATGTTTGCTGTCGTTGATGCCATTGTTTGTTGTGCGCTTTTGAACAAACAATGTCAGATCAAATTTTTTAAATTATATATATTTTTCAAAAACTAAATGAAAAGCGAAAATGCAGATATCCTTGAGATAATGTCAAAGCTAATTACAACATTCAATCATGCACACAGAACGTAATTGAAATTAATGTACATATGAACGAGAATGTATGTACTCGTATTTGTATATTCAATTGATATGTTAAGTGATCGAAATACCAAATTGATGGGCTTTGAAAATATTATTTTGAGCGATTGGCGGCGTATTATTAAGGCAAAAAATATTCCATGAAAATGAAAAAATAAATAAAATGAAGTATTGAATATGAAATCAGTGGAACATTAGGTGTTATAAAAATATTCAAAATATAATGGAGGATAATCAAATAATATATTTTTTTTAATTCAAATTAAATCGCAATTTTTATGATGAATGATTCAATTTTTATTTCGTAATAAAAAGAAAGAAAGGAATGTGGTATATAATGAAATGATATTTTACAATCTGAACCATGAGGTGTACATTTAAAGTACCAAAAGTCGAGGCCTACAACAGACGCTCAAGTTGAAAAACCATACGAGGACCCATATTTCCCTTTTTCAATACCAAATATCAAACTCTATATTAAATAGTTCGAGATCTTTCGCAATTTCAGACAGACAGGAGAAAATCGACATCGAATTTTATCTGATCATGTATACATATACATATACTCCATGGGATCTCCGGTTAACATTTTCAGGTTTTGCTTAATATACATTCCACCTTACAGTGGAGGGTATAACAATAGAACCATACCCTTCTCAAAACATTCTCCTCGATAGACTCACAAATTCTATATTTGAGTTACCCTAACTTTAAATATCAATAAAAGATGGACTTAATGGACTTAAACCACTTTAAAAATAAACGACCCATATTGAGAAAATGTGCATTGTCTACTGATCAATTCCACCCAATTCCTACCTTTAAAATCAGCTCTCGGTAGCGCATTTTACCATTTACCGCAACAGTTTATTGAACCTCATTTTCGACGTTCAATGAACCCGACGGACCATCATTCACACCTACATTCACAAATTGTTCCGCACCCAAAAGGCAAAAAATTTGCTTTTGACGTAGCCTCCGGTGTGGAAATGAGTCTAATCAGTCAAAATGATTTTTCGATGGAATTCCAGATAAATTTCATACATTTCAAAGACATGGCGTTCTTGACGATCGAAAACTTGAGACTTGATAGACTTAAAACCCAAGACAAAAATGATGAGGAATAGATAAATTTTGGTTTTCTTGAACACTTTGGGTTATAACATTATCAGATGTTCTTGAGCGCCGATCCACATCACTGTCTTATCCCAAAAAGCATAAGTTTTGCTAACTGTGATTTTCACCATTTTTGAAATGAATTTTAATCTATTCGTTCGTTGTTTAAGCGCCTATCGCACATATCTAAAATTCCTCGAAAGATTTTTTTTATTAAATCTATAAAAACTTTTTTGACTAACTGTACGCAGGAAATGTTAATTTGTCTATAGGAAATTTTACAATCAACTAGAAATTAATAAAAATTTGTTCACAAAATTTCCCTCCTGCCATTAAATTCTCATCAGAGAGTGACTTCGCTATTTTTTTTTTTTTTGCCTTAGATGAAAACAAAAGCCAAATGAAAATTTGCCATGGCCAACGAAATCAATGGCGGCAAGACAAAATAAATCAAATTATAATTGCCCGAAACAAATTCTAAATAGACTTTTTTGTCCAATAAGACAATAAATACATTTCACAAAGAAACAAAGAATAATTATTTTAGATGAATTATTGAATTCATTTCAACAATGTTCGACGACAATTTTTGTGTTTAATGATTTTTAAATCGTTGGGACAAATTTAAAGTGCTGTCATTAATTTTGAAATTCCACAGTGGGAGAGAGGTGGCAAAAATAGAAAATTATGTATGTGACACAATATAAATAAAATAGGAAAATCAAGAACTTTTGACATGTGGGCAAAGATTTTTCAAATAACTCTGATATTTCACATGTATGAAAAATTAATTTCAAAATATGGAAAGTTTTACAATGGCAAATAACGAATTACTTAAGGGAACAAAGAAACGTGTCAAAATTTGGAACCGATTGGATTATTAGTTTCTGAGTTATCGTGCTTGCCATTCGTAAAAACACAGTTTCGAGAAAAAACGCGTTTAAAGTTTGAGAAGTACTTAAGTCGTCGTTAGATGCTGGCACAATGAATCTATATATGTATATCTATTATATATTCTATATCTTCGAACCATGTTGAGATTTTCACTTGAAAAATTATAGGGACATTTTTCAATTAGTGTATGTTCGAATCAAATCAAATTAATTTTTTTTGTTTTTTAAACTAAGAATGGAGATATCCCCTTAGGTTGTTCCGAACTTTTTATAAACTCCCCAGTCGGGACATTTATAATGATAATGATAAAATTAAAAAAAAAAACAACAGTGAGCGCAGCAGTATAGTCGGAAGGGGGCGAACAAGTTATACTCTACACAATTTCCACGAAAATCTAACTTTCTTTGGTTCTATATTCTGAGAATGGTCAATATTTCGCGATATTTGTACCCTCTTGACCGACTAGAGATCAGTAAATAATACTAATATTCAGTACAGCTTTCAATTGTGGCCTATATATCGACTGGAAAAACACAAAAAATTAAGTTTTCGGTCCACTTCATCCCAATATTATTATCTGATCATCACCGAAAATTACAGGGATTGATCATACCTGGATCCACAAGCTCTAGTGTGGTAATGGATTACTAAATAATATCCGAACATTTAAGTGCAACTGCCACATCCGAGTACATATGACAATATAATTGGTATCAATTTAAAGGTCAACCACTCCTCTTGGTCATTTTTCACACAAAAGTCAGGGTTCATTTGTGCCTTTAACCGACCGATCTTTATAAAAACATTCATGCTTATTCTTTGGCCCGATCCTCTTCTCTATATAAAATTTCGCGATGATAGAGCCATAATTGCGGTCTCTGTAGCGACCAGAAAAAAACTAAAAAGATAAGTATTTGGCCCATTTTAACCCCTAAATATTAACCCATCTTTTCCATTCTTCATTAGCCAGAGCCGATCCTACATGCAAACTGTCTTGAAGATTATTCCATAACTGTAGCCTGTATCGTATTTACAAATTATAATGGACAGACGGACGGACACACATGTCTAGATCGACTCAGCTAGTCTAGATATGATCGGTATACTTAAAGCTGGGTCTAGGACCAATATTTCGCGCCGTTAAAACTCTTGGGGCTTCACAAAGCTATAACATCCTGACAACATATTTGTGTAGGGTATAAATAGAGACAACAGGTATACATACTGAAAGTATGGGGACTATTAAATATTAAAACCATGAACAGGATTGTTGAAAAAATTTTGGGAAAATTTATTTTAATCAGAAGGAACATGGGATGTAAAATGTCGAAAATATGGCGGGACAAAACCCTGATCTGCTCCTGCAAAGATGTTTTCATCCTTCAACAACCCCCAATGTCAATGGAAAATTGCGACACGCACCTGTTCAAAATGAAAATAGGTCTTACATTGAACATTTTCTGCAAATATGTTTCACTCCCATTAAAATTCCGAAATGCCATACCACAGCCACAGGTATATCAAAACATTTAGCTGGGGCTTAAACTTTATATTGTGACCTATGTTACATTTTTGCAATATATCAGTGTACAAAAACCCGGAGTTCGAAATTACATCCGTTTTGATGCGAACAATAAGGATGTAATTATACTGAAAATTAAGCGGAAGTTTTATATATGGCATACATAGATGTATGTCATACATGCTTAAACTTTATATTGTGACCTATTTTGCATTTTTTGCTATATATCAGCCTCCAAAGCCCCGGAATTCGAAATTAGATCAATTTTGATGGGAACAAAAATGATCTATTATACTGAAAATGAAGGGGGATTTTTATATGGGAGCTTTGTTAAAACAGCTCCTCCAGAAAGCTGGAATGCCCAAATACATCCATTTCGTTTGAAAAATTCGGCTAAAGCCACAAAAATTTCGAACATTTGGCGCACAGTTTCAAAGCTACAATTTAAATATTTCGAAAAACAAACATAGCTACAAATTTTAAATCTTTGTGGGCACCAATGGGTTCCATCTTTTGCCCATATACAAAGTGTGGATCTATATACTTTTAAAATTTTTAAAATATGTTCCTTTGTGGGGAGTGTACCTAATGGGTAAAGTTTAGAGCAAATCGGGAACCCCATTCTTCACAATTTTGAACAGAGATATGCCGAATTTCGAATATTATTTGGACTATTTATATATAACTATAACTCTATTTATATTTTTATTAAAATTTCGATATAAATCGCCGAACATATATTTGATCTTTTTCAGAAATTGCTAGAATTGTCTGTAATCGAAATTTCTCTTCTATCTCGATGACAATTAATAAAAATTTACCATATTTGTTTAAAATTTGGATTCATTGTAAACTTTATTTGTGTAGTTGTCTTAAATACAAATATATGCCCCCTTCCTCTCGTTATTTCTAATCAAGTGACAATTTTATAAAAACATATATCTTTTTAACACTTTCACTGCACACACGCAATATTGTTACAAAAATAAAACTGATTGACCAAATTAATACAAGGTTAATGCGAATATCGAATGAATTGAACATAAACTACACATGAATGCGTCAATCTATGCGTAACCTTCTAAACAGTATAATAAATACGAAACAAAACAGCTGCATTAAAAATGTTTGACAAAACCACAAAAAAATATTTGTGATATATGACGATTATGTTTTCACTTACAAAAATAATAATAATGTTTTTTTTTCAACTCTGTATACACTTCTAGGTTCAGGTTGGCAGCCCCGCTTTCGGTGAAGTGCTACGTGGCGATATAATTGCTAAAATTGGAGAATATGATGCCAGAGATGTTAGCCATGCCGATGCTCAGATGTTATTCCGTACAGCTGGTAATGAAATAAGTTTGGTTGTGCACAGGTAAGAATGTCTCACAAAAAATTTTAATCAACATGCTAATGTATTTATTCCTACCCATAGGGACAGTAAAATTGCTTACACTCAGGGTTTAAGTGCTGATAATTCGAGACCAAATTCCTCATTACTTTCTACCAGTCCAGATTCAAATCAACCCCATAGGTATTGTGTTATCCATTTCTAATAGGAAAAAAATACAAAAAGTAAATTAAAATTTGTTTTATTTAAATTCCCATAGAGCCCCCTCACCTTTTCTACCCGGCCCCGGACAATATGAACATGCTTTGTCGGAACCCATCAATACGCTGCCACAAACAGTATTCCCCAAATTGAATCCATCCGGTGGTTATGTACCACCGTCTAGCACTTTTACACCAATGCCAACACGGGATCATCAACAGGATGTGGCTGAGGAACAGGCAACCATTGTGAATCAAGTGAGTTTCTAAATGCTTACCAACAACAACAATACCACCACAAGCACTACTACTATCCACCACCACCAAATATCATCCATTCAATTGCTATTTATCACCTGTTGCTAAAAATTTGCGCTTGGCTTTATTAACTGAAATAGTAGATACAAAATGCTTTAAATTTGTTTAAAATTGCTAATTTGTTGTTGTTCCTTTAGTTGTTGAAATTTTTAATAAAAAAAAACATTTTAGTAATTGTATTTATATACAAAAATTGGCCAATTTAAATTTTTTCATTAAAATGACGATAGGATCATTGATAATAATACAT